CATATGTTATAGTTTTGGGTAGGCTGTAGTGGGGTAGATACTGTGGGGTACAACCACTTAGGTTTCCTTCTTGTACCAAAATCTCTCGATAGTCACACACATTCCTGCCTAGTTTCTAAGACCTCACGTACACTTGCAGGGCAGGGTGGTTTTCGATGTTGGCCAGGGGCACCCAGTTATCCTCAGTTGGTGTGCGGTCCTTCCAGCGAACGAGGAATTCAATCCTCCTGATTCCCGTGGGGTGTCTAATCCGATGGCTCAGGATTTTTTCTCGCTCGATGATGGGCTCTGATACGGGGCGAGTCATGGATGTCGGGCGGTGACGAGGCAGTTGGCTTGTGGTTGGGATGTATGGGCGAAGCAGGCTGGCGTGGAACGAAGGGCTGATGTACCAGTCCGTCGGCAACAGTAGCTGGGCTGTCACTAGGGTAATCATGTGGCTGATTTGGAATGGTCCACAGTAGCGGGGTCGTAGTTTCGGTACGACGGGCAGTCTTAGGTTCGGTGTGTCGAGCAGTACGTAGTCTCCTGACTGGTACGTGACTGGGTGGCGGTGGCGGTCAGCGTTGCGCTTAGTGATGACATTGGCTTTTTTAATTGCTTCTGCGGCTCTGGTGCGGGCAGCTTGCAGAATTTCGGCGAATTGTTGTGCACGTGGTGCTGGGTTGTCCGGACTCGGCGTCATGGGCACTGCAGGGTTTTGCCCATAGTTCAGGTAGAAGGGGGACTGTTGCGTCGTCGCTGACGTGGCGTTGTTGTACGCGAACTCGATCAGCGGCAGCTACTGCTCCCAAGTGGTCGGGTCGTCGCACGTGGCATGAATCAACTGCTCCATCGTCTTATTCGTCCGCTCCGTTTGACCGTCGGTCTCGGGGTGGTACGATGAGCTGAACTGTAGCCTTGTCCCGAACTGCTCCCAGAGGTTTTTCCATAAGCTGCTGGTGAACTTCGTGTCGCGGTCACTGATTATCGCGGCTGGTATCCCGTGCAGTCGAACGACGGCTGCGATGAACAGGCGAGCGGTTTCTTCTGCTGAGATCGATTTCTTGCACGCAGCAAAGTGTGCCATCTTCGTCAACCTGTCAACGATGACCATAACTGCCTCGTTACCCCCAGGGTTCGAAGGTAACCCCGTGACAAAATCCATGGTAACCTGCTGCCAGGCGCGCTCAGGCGGTGGAATCGGCTGCAACTGACCTGCCTTTCTTTTTCGCGAGCTCTTCATCACCTGACACGTAGGACATGAGCCCACGTGGTGCTGTACGTCGGTCAACAGCTCCGCCCAGTAATAATACCGCTGCAGTTGCTGTCGCGTTTTTTCTACCCCGAAATGTCCCGAGGTAATCCCGTCGCGTGCCTCCTGCAGTAACAGTTCCCTCAGTAGTGAGTACGCGGGTACCCAGATGCGGTTGGTGCCTGTTTTTACGTAATAGACTCCTTTGGCTTCTGCCAGTTGATGTGAATTTCCGGTCGTGAAAAATGGGTCGGTACTGTATCAGTGGGTGAATAGGCCTGTTAACAGTGGGTTGGTTTGGGCGAGTAGGATGGCGTGGAGTTGGGCGGTGGGGCGTGTGAGTGCGTCGGCGATGTTGGATGCGCCTTTTTTGTACGTGACCGTGTAGTGGAAGTTGGACTCCAGATAGTCCAACCAGCGGATCAAAGATTCGGTTGGGCACGAGGGTACTGTAGGGATCGGTGGTCTGTCCGTACTGTCACGTCTGCTCCCGGGAGGTAACATCGCCTGTTGAATTATATTGCATATCTTATAACTGCCTACAGCTAGCTAGTGTACTAGTTTAGTTATTAGCATCAACAGTTGGTGGTGTACCCTCTCTTTTCCTTGCCTATATCCTTGTACTGTTTCTCATTATTGAACCTCTTTGGCCAACCCAAACTCCCTCGATATCCATCTCGCTATGCTACTCTCTCCCTCCAAGCTCCTAATCTCCTAAGTACTATTTTGACATGCTATCAGAGCCCGTGTTTCGGTCCTAGGCCCTCGCTCAAATTTGAACCATGGGAGCTTTCCCTCACGCTCGTTTGCAGCTGCTGGCGGCCTGCAAGGCGACCGCCGCGACGAGCAGGGAGACGGTCGCGAAATGCAGCGCGAGTACTGCAGCAGCTGCGCGATCGCCGTTCGTCGCGGCCGCCTCGTCTCGCCCCATCGCCCCGCCCCTTCGTCGCCACGTCGCCCCACTGCTGCGCCTCTGCCGCCCCCCCGTTCGCCCCCCGTGCGCTTCCGCACCCGTCCAGCCCCTGCACGTATTCGGGGGCGGTAGCTATAACGTGGAGGATGGGGGAAGGGAGTGGCGGGCCGACGGCAGCAGTCGCCCGCGTCAGCGCCAACGAAGTTCGTTGGCGCCCCCGACATCTCCATCCTGCTCCCCGCCCTCCCCTCTGCCGCGCACTGCAACGGCAGAGACTTGGGGAGGGGGTTGGCGGGATTGGCAGGCGAGGCTCCGGGGGTACTAAAGCCCCCCTTGAACCCCCCTATCCTCCTCCTCCTCGCTGCACCGCATCTGCTGGGCGTGCCGCGTTGGGGGGGGGGGGAGAAGGGATGTGGGGGTGGCGGGTTTGACAAGGCAGCCCCAGCCGCACCTCCTCCCTCTACCTTCCGCTGCACCATCTCCTCCTCCTCTCTCCTCCCTCCAGCCGCATCTCCTCCTCCTCTCTCCTCCCTCCAGCCGCATCTCCTCCTCCTCTCTCCTCCCTCCAGCCGCATCTCCTCCTCCTATCTCCTCTCCTCCAGCCGCATCTCCTCCTGTGCACCACCACCAGTTTCCTCCTCCTCACCAACAGTTGTGTTTGCTCGTAGATGGCGAGCGACCAGCATCCTTCGCCCTCCGGCTATCCCAGCCCTCCTCCGCGCTCTCCGCGCCCACCTCCGTTCTGGCGTTCACAGGTGCTGCCGGTCAGCCACCGCTGTTTCTGTGCCTATCCCAGCTACAGCAACCGCTCTCCAGGCGACCTGGTGCCAGACACCACTAGCTACAGCCGTAGGCAGTTACGGGGGTGTGTTGAATTATATTGCATATCTTATAACTGCCTACAGCTAGCTAGTGTACTAGTTTAGTTATTAGCATCAACAGTTGGTGGTGTACCCTCTCTTTTCCTTGCCTATATCCTTGTACTGTTTCTCATTATTGAACCTCTTTGGCCAACCCAAACTCCCTCGATATCCATCTCGCTATGCTACTCTCTCCCTCCAAGCTCCTAATCTTCTAAGTACTATTTGACATCGCCACACTTTGAACGCGTGCACGATCGCCAACATCTCGCGATCGTGTATCGGATAGTTGCGTTCGGGCAGGTGAAGCTTGCGAGACTCGTACGCGATTGGCTGGAGGCCGTTCCTGAAGTCCTGCAACAGTACTGCTCCACAGCGATGTCGCTAGCGTCGGTGACGAGTTCGAACGGACGGAGCGGATCTGCGATGTGAAGCATGGGCGGTGAGCACAAAATATTTTTGAGGGCCGAGAAGGCAGCTTGCTCTTTCTCCCCCCACGTGTACTCAAACCCCTTCCTCAGCAGGTCGGTCCACGGGGCAGTCAGCTTCGCCATGTCGGGGATGAACCGGCGCACGTAGTTGACGAACCCCAGAAAACTTTGCAACTCTGAAAGTTGGAATTGTACGCGTAAGGAGTGCCGCAGTAAGGAATTAGCAAAATTCCTTGCACTGGCACTCGGGAGTGCTAAGAAAGAGTACCCTGTTGGCTCAATATATATATATATATATACATATACATATATATATATTATATTTGGGAGGAAAAGGTTGTCAAACCAGGGTAGCCTACTTGCCAGGGAACCCTCGTTTTGGGGGGTTTGTTCCCAGTAGTCCTGGAAAATCTGTGCTACATATATAAACATATATATATATATATGTACATAACGCCCTATTGCTTGGCTCTTGCCCTCTTGCTTCGTGTTGCAGGTCGGTTTGCTACTAGATTGGTAGGTGTATGGCCGTTTGTATGCAGTAACTTACTAGTAGGTGCTGGTAGTTACCGTAACGTACGGTAAGGGTTTAATTAGTTCTCTGGTTAGCTCATTGTGTCATGCTTGTACCTGCTCCCTATCATTGAGATAGTGGGGGAAGGGAAAGACAGGGAGGAAAAGGATAAGTGAGAGACTGGGGGAGGGAGAGGAGAGGAGAGAGTGAGATGAGAGGTGAGAGTGAGAGTGAGAGGGAGAGGTGGTTAGAGATAGAGAGATGGAGGGATGGGGAGTGAGAGTGAGGGAGTGGGATGCGAGAGAGAGAGAGAGAGAGAGAGAGAGAGAGAGAGAGAGAGAGAGAGATAGAGAGAGAGAGAGAGAGAGAGAGAGAGAGAGAGAGAGAGAGAGAGAGAGAGAGAGAGTGGGGGAGAGAGATGGAAAGAGGGAGGGAGAGGGGGAGGAAGACGGAAAGATTATGAGAGAGAGAGAGAGAGAGAGAGAGAGAGAGAGAGAGAGTTAGAGAGAGAGAGAGAGAGAGAGAGAGAGAGAGAGAGAGAGAGTTAGAGAGAGAGAGAGAGAGAGAGAGAGAGAGAGCGAGGGAGAGCAAGAGGGAGAGGGAGTGGGGTGAAGATGGAGAGCATCGGTGAGAGTAGGGAGAGGGAATAGGGCTGGGAAAGTGGATGTTACTAGTGCATAGTGCATGCCGCAGCAGCGGTGAGCCAGCATGCGCCTCATCCCCGTGCTATTGAATGGTATGGTTCAAAATTGCAAAGCAGTTAACTATCTCGTGGGTAATGCGGACATTGATGCATTAGGTTCCGGGGCATTCTAGACATTGGGGACTCATTTCCGAATAAGCAATGTGCACAGCACAGCACATGCAACCAATTAAATAACTAGAACAGCAAGCAGAAGCAGCAGCGTCAACACGAGAGGCTTCAGTGGAGAGAGAGAGTTACCTGCCAAAACAAGACATTACGAAAACGAATCAGAAAAATAAAAAAACCCATCTGGAAATCTCAAAACGGCCGACCAGCAGAGCAACGGTCCCATCGTGAGCTTACCTGGACTGTCAGGGTTGTTCCAGCCGATGGGTGCGGTGGCACCCGTGTCGGTGAGCTGGACGGTTCCCGGGAAGAGAACGACGGAGATGTCGTTGAGATCAGTGTCTGCCTTGGACTTGCTGTTGACCGTCTGATTCTTGGCGTTCGCGACAAGCTTCTCGCTGCGAATGATGCGACCGTACGCGTACTGCGTGCCGTCATACTTGGCGTCGGTGTCGTTCGCGAGACCCTTGGGAACTGACCTATTGTTCGCGCCGTATGCGCCGGCCGGCATGCAGCTCATAAATTTGAAATAATCGGAGCTATAGTTGAGGGGGTTCAGAGCATAGATGGTTGTGTTGAGCATGCTTGTCACGGTATTGCCATTCGAGGCCTGTGGAGTACGGGAGAAAGATAAAAAGAAAGAAAGGTTCATTGCGAGAATGTGTGCAGCATCACGAGATAAGAAGGATGAAGACTCTTCAAAACGTTATGACGTATACAGCCACACAGGTCATGCTTAGGACACACCATACTCACGTTGACGATGGCATCGGTAATGCCGCTGACGTTCACAGAAAGCTGCTTCATGAGACGAAGCAGCACGTTCTGCGCGCCCGACGACGCGCCATATAGCTTGCCGGGAGCCCCGCCGCTGTCCCTGACTGCTATAAGCGCCTCGAGAATGATGTCTGAGGAGCCAGGGGGGTTCAGCGTCTTGTTGTAACCGCTCACAGCCGATCCCCACGCCTGGTTAGTCGGGGAAAGGATGGTTGCTATGTTGACGTCATTGAATCCCTCCTTCTCTGAGACGAACTGGAGCAGCGCGGAGGTCATGGACGTTCCCTGGAGATCGCCGAGCGGTCTGGCGCGCATCTTGGAGAGCAGCATCGAGACAGACGCGCCATTGGCAGCTGTCGCGAGGGACAGTACCAAGGCAAATAAGGCTATAGCCAGGGCGAGCGTGCGGCGAGCCATGGGTGTAAGTTCGGTTGGGAAATTAGAACGAGAATTTGCTGACCTGAGTTCTGTGAGCAATTTACAGTGGTGATTTTGGCGGCGCGAGATGAGGCCTCACCGTCGTCGTGAACCAGCTTTGTCTATCTAGGATTGTAGGACCTGTGCAGAACTATTGGCATCAAAAGATCTCTCCCAGCGCGGATCATCTTTCAGCCTCCTTGAGGCGTAATTGCTCCGTAATCTACCTTCCGAGAAACTACCAATACAAGGAACCTAGATTTCACAACCCGTAGAGTAGACAAGTGACTCACAGAGTGCGGAATAACTTACATAAAACCAAGATAGACACCGTGGAAAGGAAACACGACTTTGTCTTCTTATTGGTGGAGGCGCGAATATTGGGCATATACATGCTGCATCGGCAAAAATATTCCAAACAATGAAAGATTCGCTTTCGCATCGCGAAGAATATGATCCACGTGGCAACTGGTGATGGGGCTCAACCATCTCGATGGCAGGCACATTCACTTGACCCGTCTCAAGGAGACCTGATTGTGTCGAATTTCTAAACCCGCAACCCTGGACTATTTTTCCTTGAGATGGAACGGAATGGATGGAAGAGCAGATTGGCCTTGGTAAAGTATTTGTAGAAACTCAATTTCTCTTCACCTGACAGCTTGATACAAGTACACCTAACCACCGCTATTTTCAACCCCGAACCCTTGCACTGTTCTCGCGTTTCGAAGATACCCTGCACGCATTCGACTATTTCAGTTAGGCACTTGATCAACATGGGCTATGAAGCACCCCAATTTTCAATGTTAAGAAACGCATGAAAGCAAATCTGAGACAATTACCGCTCGTGTGAAGGGGCACTCTTGCTGTTGCGAATTCCCGTGTGCCACTTCTACTCTTTTTGGGGGTCTGGAACTAACTCACTGTGAAATAAGTGTGAAATTTCTGACGCCCACACAACCCTCGGTAGAAGATTCTAGAAAGGGTGCATACCCACTTGCGCAAGTGGGGTTGAAAATAGACCGAAAGAAAATAGCGGTGGTTAGGTGTACCTTCTTCTGCACTTGATCAACTATTCAGAATATGCTTGTATATGGAGAACATATATGGTGACAACTATGCAACCTAGGTTTCTAAATCTCTAATGGGATCAAATTATTCCCAAATGGACAGACCTATGCACAAAACTCCAACCACATTATGCAAGCCATTAACTGTTGTAAGTTAAGCTCCACCATGACATGATTGTTTACTGATTTTCCCAACCAAGCTTTGCTGTTTGGTTTTATGACTTTGGGGCGATACACTCCTGTAGAGATGTCAAGAGCTCTTCTCTCCTCCCAGCAGGATCAGCCCCTCTAACCTGCACATTCGTTCCCAACACACTTGGCTCCCCTCCACCACCCGCCCCCCCCTGAGCTGTCTTCCAGTACATGCACGCCAGCTCGCTCCGGTACTGATAATACACTATAGTAGCGTTAGCCTCAATCTTATTAATAGCAGGCCAGTCAAACCAATCTATGGCATACTGCCATATTTGGATATGAGGGAAAGGATTCACATCATCACACCCAGGTGTGAAAAGCAGTAGAAGAAGGCGCCATAGCTAGGAAAGCCCTAGCTAGGCAAGAAGCAGTTTAGGCAAAGAAGGAGGAGTTGCACTAGCAAGAATGAGGATACAAATAGCAAACCCTAGAAGGGTTGTACTCGCTATAGAGCACCCCACTACAGGCTAGAGCATAATATTCTGACACACCCCCATAGCCAAAGTGGGGTGTAATCAGCAGAGCAAGCAAAGCAGAACAAGCTCAGGGTGGATCACAATGTCACCACACATTCTGAGCACAAGTTCAGGAAGCAATAGTTTAAAGTTCACAATTATGAGCAAAGCTAGTGGTAGTCACAACGGGCAAGTGAGGAGGAGGAGGGACAGTGAGAGGAGAGGAGATAGGAGGCGACGGCTGAAGCTGCAGACACACGGGCAACAGGAGGCACACTGGCACAGCGGCTACCGGAACAGCGCTCCGGACTACTGGAGTAACTGGCCCCGCGGCTAAAAGTAGCGGCAGACGAGCAACGGACCCACGGGCGACTGGCACAGGTGGCTACGACTGGGCTACCGGAGCAACTCCCCGGACTACAGGTGCTGCTGGCGACACGACGGCAACCTCCGTTCAACCTCCCCCAAACAGTACCACCCCCCCTGACACACACCCCCTGCTTCACCCCTAGCTCCACTCCCCCTTCACCCCCCCTTAGTACCACTCCGACGGCTCCAACAGGTCCACCCCCCTTCAGCGGCAGCTGCAGCACAGGGAGACGGAGGAGGAGGAGGAGCAGGGAACGGCACACAGAAGCTGCACCCCCATACCCCCCACCCCCAAACCCTAATCCAGGAGAACAGGCAGAAGGAGGGGTGGGGCGCCTTCAGAAGCACGGGGGACAGCGGGGAGGACAGGGGCAGCGAAGAACGGGCCGCCCACGGGCCTGGCACAGCCTCCCGAACCGCGCGCAGGCGGCCCGAGCCGCGCGCGGGCCTGGCGCAGTCCGTATGAAAGCAGCAGAAAGGCCATGTGGATCTAAAATCTAGGCGAAATAATTATGATATAGAATCTAGAATCTGAGCTAGAATCAGAAACCCTAAACCTGTAACAGAGAAATTGACTAAAAACGAGGAAAATGAGCACCTCACAACGACAACCTGCCATAGCTGAGAATTTCAAAGAAAGAGAGAAAGGGAACAAAGAGAAAGAAGAGAGCGACGAGGTGCATGCACTGCAGGTACCGGTACGCTTCGTCATAGAGATTGAAGAGCTTTGCCACGCAGTGACCCGTTTGCGAACGCCGCCTGCACTCCCTCCCGCTGCTTTCGGCGCCATTGTCACTAGTGATAGTAACGTTACGAGTAGCATTAGTTGCAGTACTAGTAGTAGTCGCAGTGGGACCATCATCAGGCTGCTTGTCCAAGACAACTTTCACAGCGTTGCCGTCAGGCTTTCTGCCAGCGACATCACGAATTCCCGAGTTCAGACCTGCGCCGCTCATGCTCTTCTCCGCCGCCGAGTCTTCGAGCCTGACTGCCAGCGACTCTGAGTCCGACTCCGAGTCTTGCCAAGACCGGGATATCTCAGGCATCATTTGCACAACTACTGGTCGTACCATCTTTGCACTTAATACGGCCTCGTCCCCCCCGGCGACTCGATCGTCGTTCTCGTCGTTTCGACGCACACGCTCAGCCAGTAACGCAGAGGCTCTGCCTTGTGCCGTCATCGGTAAAGCAGCTGCTACGTCGTCGTGGTAGTCGTAAGGCGCTGTCAGTCGCAAGCCGGTTGCTCCAAGGAGCCCGCGAACCGAGTCATCTGGCGACGAGGCAATCGTGCTTGTCGTTCCGTTTCGCACGGTGGAGGCGTGGAGCAGCAGCAAAAGCGCCGTCACGAGGGCGAGGAGGCGGAAGATCATGGCCTCTCGACGGGAAATCACAAGACATAACGGCGCATCCTTCATCTTGCTACTCGTATTGCTCCGAATCATCGCCGTGGATTTTGGACATCCTTCCTCAAAAGTACTAAAGCGATAGTGCACGTTTGGCAGGTACATGCTGACGTACTACGCACAGCGTGCCGATGCGAAAAGAATCAAAACATGTGTTTGATCCGCATTGTGCTGCTCCCTCGGAGTCCCTCAAAACAGTTGCCGGCAATCTCCGTAGTTGGCGGCAAATGCGTCTTTATGCTTCTTTGCCTATAGAAGTTATGCTATGAAAGAATAGTCTCCTACGTGCACGGCTGCCGTCCCGAACCAACCCGTGCCGTGCTGAGGCATTCTGTACCAGCGAATTCGCTCAGGGTGCGATCAAGGGCGCGCGGAGCAATTTAGGTCGATTGTTGGAGACAAACACGAAAATAGCTGATGCGCTCGATTTCGCCAGCACCATTCCTTGATTGGGCGCACGACCAGACGTGGAGATCGGGCGCGCCTCGGGCGTGCTGAATGGTCTTGCGGAGTGAATAGAGGCAAAATTTGGCCTATATTTCCTGGTGCATTTTGATTATACAATATGTCAACCATATGTCAAATAATATTGAAAAGATATAATATTCACATATTGGCAACTAACTCTTAAATCAGAAAACGCAGTCTGATATTGCATGTAACCAAGCACTTATCAACATATTTTTTTGTCCCATATTTTCTGAATTTTGTGATAACTAAGATGTGATCTCCACAGCAAAATGGGATTACTGAGCACCGCATTGGTTTGGTCATGGAGGTTGCTCGCACCTCCATGATCCATATGGCTTCTCCTTATTTTCTGTGGCCGTTTGCGGTCCGATACGCTACGCATCAGCTCAACCTCTGGCCCTGTGTCTCCGAGCCAGAAATCCCCCCTACGCTGCGTTGGACGGGGAAGGTTGGCGA